CGCCCGTCTCCAGCCACCGTCGCCCTCTCAGAGCACCCTCCTTTCGTCAGTCCACAGCGTCATCCCAAGAGGACCTGACCCCAAACAATGAATCTCAACGCTCTCCTCCCCCAAAGTCTCATCATGAACTCTCTCCTCTATCCAAACCCTAACCATAGCCCTAATTTCACCAAAACCTCTCCTTTAAAACAGTCCAACCTCTCAAGCTCAACCGATTGGATCTCTCTCAGCCCTCATACTCCCCGAATCGGCCTCTCGCTCAACCGGCGGGGCTCGACCTCGAGGTCCGCTCTCTACTCAGAGAGGATTGATTTGACTGCAATTAGATTCGGATCCTCCGAATCCGGCGGTGTTGACGTCGTATCGGAGCTCCGATATCCCGAGACCGAAGCAGATAGTGTTGGAGGCCTAGGCTAGGGTTTGCACGGGACCGGAGCAGACGAAGCCGATGACCGAGGAGCAGGCAATGGCGGTCCTTGAGACGATTCTTAGATCAGGTGACCTCAGTTCTTTTAAGAGCTCTTACTAATTTTTCTTAAATTGAGGTCAACTTAGTAGTTCAACTTAATTATCTTCTTATTTTTTTGGTAATTTCTGCTTATTTATGTTCGCAAATGATAACTGGGAACTTTGAGATTAGGCATCGAAATATGTATATAATTGGAGCATAGTATTAGAGTGCAGATGAGATTAAAATACAAAAACTGTAAGTTTATTTATTTATTTATTTATTATTTTTTTGGGAACTATGTGGAACAATTTATTTGAAGTCAGAGAAAGAGATATTGATGGTAATCTGAATTTGTTGCCTAGAGTCATTGTGGACTTTACTTACTGGATATAGTTCACCCTTGTCCCTTGTCTTCGCAGTTTTGGGGCATTTTGTGGCATACTTTAACTGTGTGTACACTATATTTAAACTGAAAGATGTTTGCATATTTTGGAAAAATTGTTCTACTAGATATTTCTAGCTGCAAAATGCATCTCTTGCATTATAGAAAATTGACTGTTTGCCACTTCTTACATCCTTTATTTCTCAAAGAATAAATATGATCTATCACTTTCAACTGAAAGGTAATATCCAACAGGATGTAGTCCATGGGTAACTGTAATCTTAACTTTCTTTGTTTTTTTTAGAGATGCATTAATGAAAATAACCCATCGAGTGTGGATCGAATGTTTAAGCCAATGACGACAACTCAATTCCAAAAACTTGATAAGATTATTTTTCCACTCCTAACTTCATTTCATTGGCATATGTTGGTATTCTTTGTAAAGGATAGAAGATTTTATCATTATTCTTTTCTTCGCGGGTATATGCCTGATGCTTGTGAGTTTAGAGTGAATCTTATTTCTACCATTCCCGATGCTTGGAATTTAGACATTACTTCTTGTCAGGAGGTAAAAAGTGTTGATGTACCTCAACAACGTGGGTTAGTGTATTTGACTTATTCATATGTTGTTGTTTTTCGTATGTGCTAACACATAGAGACTATATATTGTGGGCCAAGAGTGTTATATTGATATTGTAAACATTTGAACTTGCAGTAGCTTGGATTGCGGGATGTTCTTGATGGCATACATGTTTAGCCTCGTTTCCGGCCAACCAATTTCAATTGACCAAAAGGATTGTGCAAGACATAGAGCTCGTATTGTTGCTCTATTTCAATCTAAAGGTATATTTTCTATAAGTGTAATGTTCATTGAACCGCTTATATTCAGTCTATTGTTCTTTTGATCCGCTTATATTTTGCTTTCAGGAAATCAACGTGATCCCCAAGACTAATTCCACGGATGCTAGATGCTATCAAGCATTTTTTGTGTACATATATATGTTTGGATGATTTGTAAAGTATTTGTATAAATATATGTTGATTATGTAGTCCATAGTGTTTTGTGTCTTTTGTGGTAGATTATAGCCATTGTGGTTAAATTACTGGGTTATGTAAAGTTTTGCATGCTTCTAAGTCATTGATATTGATGGTTAAATTTATTTTAGACAATAACCATTGTTTGCGTGTTGTATGTGCTGGAATGGTTGAAGAAACTTCTTGATTTTTTTGTGTCTCTTGGATATGCAATGTTTTCTTGGATATGCAGTGTTTTGTGTCTCCTGGATATGCAATGTTGTATATTGTTTGCATGTTGTATTGTTTGGAAATGGATTAAGTATAGCACGTTATGTATATAGTTTGTCAATCTCCTGGATATGCAATGTTGTATTTTCTTGGATATGCAATGTTTGGTGTCTCTTGGATATGCAATGTTTTCTTGGATATGCAGTGTTTTGTGTCTCCTGGATATGCAATGTTTTATATTGTTTGCATGTTGTATTGTCTAGAAATGGATTAAGTATAGCACGTTATATTGTAAGTATAGCACGTTAACCTGAAAATATAGCACGTTAATCTGAAAGTATAGCACGTTGTATTGTAAGTATAGCACGTTATGGAGTAAGTATAGCACGTTAAATTGTAAGTATAACACGTTATATTATAAGTATAGCACGTTAACATGAAAATATATCACGTTAACCTGAAAGTATAGCATGTTATGGAGTAAGTATAGCACGTTAATATGAAAGTATATCACGTTATATTGAAAGTATAGCACGTTATGAAGTAAGTATAGCACACTATGAAGTAAGTATAGCACGTTATATTGTAAGTATAGCGCGTTAACATTTAAGTATAGCACGTTAACCTGAAAGTATAGCATGTTATGGAGTAAGTATAGCACGTTATATTAAAAGTATAACACATTATGAAGTAAGTATAGCATGTTATATTGTAAGTATAGCACGTTAACCTGTAAGTATAGCACGTTGACCTGTAAGTATAGCACGTTAACCTGTAAGTATAGCACGTTGACCTGTAAGTATAGCACGTTAACATGTAAGTATAGCACGTTAAATTGTAATCATAGCATGTTAAATTGTAAGTATAGCATGTTAAATTATAAGTATAGCACATTATATCGTAAGTATAGCACGTTAACCTGTAAGTATAGCACGTTAATCTGTAAGTATAGCACGTTAACATGTAAGTATAGCACGTTAAATTGTAATTATAGCACGTTAAATTGTAAGTATAGCGCGTTAAATTGCAAGTATAACACGTTATATCGTAAGTATAGCATGTTAACATGTAAGTATAGCACGTTAAATTGTAAGTATAGCACGTTAAATTATAAGTATAACACGTTATATCGTAAGTATAACACGTTATATCGTAAATATAGCACGTTAACATGTAAGTATAGCACGTTGACCTGTAAGTATAGCATGTTAACCTGTAAGTATAGCACGTTAAATTATAAGTATAGCACGTTATATCGTAAGTATAGCACGTTAACATGCAAGTATAGCACGTTAAATTGTAAGTATAGCATGTTAAATTGTAAGTATAACACGTTATATCATAAGTATAGCACGTTAACCTGTAAGTATATCTTGTTAAATTGTAAGTATAGCACGTTAATTATAAGTATAGCATGTTATATCGTAAGTATAGCATGTTAACCTGTAAGTATAGCACGTTGACCTGTAAGTATAGCACGTTAACTGTAAAACCCCGTGCATTTTGATGAGTTATGGTAGTGTCAACCAGCGCAGGAGTAGCGTCGAACGAGTCGGCGAGCAGCAGAGTCGAAGAACCTAATTTTCAGCTCATGAGTCGACCCATAAATCATCATGAGTCGACTCATCAGGTTGAGTCGACCCATGACTGTCATGAGTCGACTCATGATATCAACTCCTGTTGTCAAAAGTCTCTGCTGAGTCGACTCATCACCTTATGAGTCGACCCATGAGTCATGAGTCGACTCACGACTGAACATGAGTCGACTCATCGAGGGTTTTCTGGGTTTTTTCTGTGTCGGGGTTGTTTGGGTTTCGGGTTGGGTTTTAACTGTTCATATAAATTGTAAGTATAGCACGTTAAATTATAAGTATAACACGTTATATCGTAAGTATAGCATGTTAACATGTAAGTATAGCACGTTAAATTGTAAGTATAGCACGTTAAATTATAAGTATAACACGTTATATCGTAAGTATAGCACGTTAAATTGTAAGTATAGCACGTTAAATTATAAGTATAACACGTTATATCGTAAGTATAGCACGTTAAATTGTAAGTATAGCACGTTAAATTATAAGTATAACACGTTATATCATAAGTATAGCACGTTGACCTGTAAGTATAGCATGTTGACTTGTAAGTATAGCACGTTAAATTATAAGTATAGCATGTTAAATTGTAAGTATAACACGTTATATCGTAAGTATAACACGTTATATCGTAAGTATAGCACGTTGACCTGTAAGTATAGCACATTATCCTGTAAGTATAGCATGTTATCCTGTAAGTATAGCACGTTATCCTGTAAGTATATCACGTTGTACTGTAAGTATAGCACGTTAAATTGTAAGTATAGCACGTTATCATGTAAGTATAGCACGTTATCATGTAAGTATAGCACGTTACACTGTAAGTATAGCACGTTATACTGTAAGTATAGCACGTTATGCTGTAAGTATAGCACGTTATCGTGTAAGTATAACATGTTATCATATAAGTATAGCACGTTATATCGTAAGTATAGCACGTTATCATGTAAGTATAGCATGTTACCATATAAGTATAGCATGTTATTATGTAAATATAGCACGTTATCATTGTAAGTATAACACATTATCCATGTAAGTATAGCATATTATTATGTAAGTATAGCACATAGATTGCAGTCCATCGATAACCTGTCGATCATCAATGGTTGACTTGTGACCATCGATGGTTAAAGGCTAAAATCTACAACTCATGTTGATGTTTGCATTATTTCGAGTCGTCACTTATTTGCACCCGTTTATTCCTAAAATATATCATCTCACAAACTCATTAGTACCAAATGAAAGTTTGTTGTTGATCAAACGGAGACATTGTCAAATTATCATTCAATAAGTACTCCAGCATTTATCAAAGCATAAACCACAGTGTGTGTAAAAATCAATAGCCTATTGGATTGCTCATATATCATCCGAACATTCATCATTCATTTTTTGTTAAACATTTCCTCCAAATTTCACAACTCTACCCTTAACCTTACATATTTTTTTCAACAACACTGATGAGAACCAACAAGATGAGGAAAGTTAAGTATGGCCCTCGACCCTCACATCCAAAACATCGCCCGGTCGTACGCCATCGCGGCCTCTTCCGCCGTCTCGAACATCCCGAGCCAAACCCAAGCCCCATTCTTCCCGGGATCTCTCATCTCGGCAGCAAACTTCCCCCGTGGCCGCTATCTCACCCCTCTATAGCGCCTCTCCACCGCTGCGGGAGCTGCCGCATCAGCCTACACTCAGGGCCGGTTCTGAGATTTTAGGGGCCCCGTGCAAAAATTAAACCAAATAAACTCTTCAGAAATTCAAAATGTATTAAAATTCAATGCTAAATAACTAAATTCCATTAAAATTTGAGAATTTACCAGTCATCTTATCATCAACCCCAGCATAATAGGAGTCATTAGAGGAGTAAGAGAACCCAACTCCTGCTGGTGTCTCCAAATACAACATATTAATGAAGGCTATAATGGGAATTTAAGAGAAATATTTAAGGGGACCCACATATGAAAGTATACTTGGGTGTAAAGATAAATACAAAAAAAGAGTTGGGTTTAGATATACAAGTAATAGTAGGTGGGTTTAAAAATAAAGTGGAGTAAACAATTGGGCCTAAAAACAAAAACCCCTATAAAAATATATCACTCCCCTGACAAAATATCAAAAACATACAAAAGGCACATCGCCAAAATACTAGTGGGTTCGGTGGAAAAGTGCATAAGCCAAATGAGGGACTCTTTGCTAATTAGATCCTCCCTCATGATCGCCCGTTGATACATCATGCCATACAACTTATCAATCATTGTAGTAATCATGAACTTGATGCACAATTCGGCATGAGCTAATCATGCAATAACTCCGTCCCTCACCTCTTCTAATAAGCAATACATGATCACTGTTGGATAGAGAATTCCTAGTCTATTTTGGTAACATGAGGTTATTAGGATTCCTAATCTATTTTGGTAATAGGTTATTAGGATTCCTAATTTGATTTGGTTTTGGTTTAGAATTCCTAGTATGTTTATGATTTTAGGATTTCTATATATATGGAACAATTAGAAGAGAGAATTGGTGGAGAAGAAAAATTGGGGATATTTGGAGCACAGAAAAGAGGTATTTTCTGAACTATTTGTTTAGGGTTTTGTTTGGAGAGATTAAGAGCTTGTTGGTGAGATTAGTTTGTTCCTTCGAGTGATTTGTAATCTCAGTTTGTACTCTTTCTCTATTAGTGAAAACCCCATCCCCTTCTAGCCCCGTGGACGTAGGCAATTGCCGAACCACGTAAAACTATTATGTTTGGATTTGTGCCGTTGTTTTGATTTGTTTGGCCTTTATCTTGACGTTTGTTTGATTTGGTTCTCGAAGCACGCCCGTTTGGTTGTCACGCTTCCGCGGCGCGCACAACAATCACAAACTCTACCAATTGCATTAGCATCGTTTGAGAAAACTTTCGACAATCGTTTCGTCACATCCAATCCTTCGATCATAGCTGAACAAACTCTTGAAGGTTGCAGAAAATAAGAACCAGGAAATCAAGAAGTCACAAGGGAGGGACCCATGGACATCGCAGCTCAAGTGGCTGTATAGTTGTTTGGCCCCTTGTTCTTTCCCAATTTTCACACATTGATTAATCCAACAATCAATTTTTAACTCTGCTTTTCCTGTAGACTTGGATGGCCTCTAATGACTTCAAGATTCCCTTTTCCGATGCCACCTAATCCGTAGTGTAGCTTTAGAAGTTCATGAACAACAAGCTTGTCCCGCAAGAATAAAGAAATAGGTAAGTAATTAGAATTCACTGCAATTCAATAAACAAACAACATAAAAGATTTAAAGAAGATTTCGTACTCTAGTTTGAAACCCAAAACACCATCCTCTTTCCTCACTTGGATCCGAAATTAACATTAAAATGAAATAAGAGATGAAAATTTTGGATGGAGAAGCGTGACCATTTATAGCCTGATCTTGGGGTAGATAGCTAAATTGTGCGCGTGAGTCAAAGAGCCCGTGATCTCCAAAAACGATCATACCCTGCTGAGCTCTTTCAGCTCACATTGTACTGTTCTCTGGCTTTTATAGCTTCTTACAAGCAAAGCACATGTGAACTGTAGTTACTGTACTATGTACTATTTACTTAAAAGCAAAAAAAAAAAAGATTCCCGCTATGAGGGTGAAAGAGCCAAAACGTTTCATTCAAGGGACCTATCTGCAACAACAGAACTACAGGGTTCACCCGCAATTCAGCGACAGTGCGGGGGTCTATCAGCAATTTACTCTAGTTCTAACTCCTGCAACAGAGCAGGACATCGAGCATCAAAACAAGCCACATGCCTTTGAGATCTGCTGTCTGTGGCCTTTTGACTTTACACGTGTTTTAGCTTGTTGATAAGTATGCTCACAAGAATACATGTTCATATAAATTCTTGAATATATAAAATATGTTTAGTTCAAACAAACCTGAGGCCACCCATTATGCAACCTCGCATTTCTAACCACTGACAGAATAGTTTCAACTTTTTCAAATGCGTTAGAAAACGCAATGGTTTCCTTAAGTCCAAATTCTATGATCGAAACTTAGGGGAAAAAAATCTTAATAACGGTTTCTGAAAATATATAAGACCCAAAAAAGATCCTGCCATGCCGAGAACAAAGATATCTACTTCTCTATATTTGTAGGAGGATCCTTGATGTGAGAAATTGTTCTATAGCATGTTCCTAATATGTTTTCTAATTTGTTTTGGTAACATGTTATTAGCATTTCTAATCTGTTTTGGTAATAGGATTCTAAATCTATTTTGGTAATAGGTTATTAGGATTCCTAATCTGTTTTGTTTTTTGGTTTTAGAATTCCTAGTATGTTTTTTGTTTTAGGATTTCTATATATATGGAACGATTGGAAGAGAGAATTGAGCAGCGAAGGGGATATTTGGTGCATAGGGGATGTTTGGTTCGCTATTATAAGGGGTGGAAAACTCAGAAAACCCCTCCACGTCAGATTTTTAGCCATCCACGTCAGCTTTTTTTGTTTCCGTCCATTTCTTTGTGCCGCTTTGGTTCGCTCGAATGGAAGAGGGAAAACTCTGCTGAAATCGCCGCCAACTAAGATTTTTCTCTCTCTCCGATTTCCTTCCCCAACCAAGTGAAATTGATAAAAACTCTGTCACGTCAGATTTTTTTCCTTCTCTGCTTTGTTTACAAAAGTTTTCTTTTTTTTCCTATGCGAACCAAACACAAGAAAAGTAAATACATTGGTTTCCCACCATTTTTTATGTGCGAACCAAAGCAAAACAATCTATTTCTTGGAAAAATTTGAAAAACTCAAAACTTGTGTTTCTTTACATGGAATTGCATTTCTCTATATCAAAGAAACGAACCAAACAGCCCCATAGAAAAAAAAAGATTTTTTTTAGCTATTGGTTAGGGTTATTGTTTGAGAGATTGAGAGCTTTGTTAATGAGATAAGTTGATTGGTTTGAGTGATCTTGTAATCTCAGTTTGTACTCTCCTTCTCTATTAGTGAAAATCGCATCCCCTTTTGGCCCCGTGGACGTAGGCAACTTTCCGAACAACGTTAAAATTGGTTGTTTGTGTTCGTGCCGTTATTTTGAATTGTTTGTGGCTTTCTCTCTCGGCGATTGGTTTGATTTCTCGAAGCACATCGGTTGATTGGCTTCCGCCGCACATAACAATGTAAAAGTGTTCTATTATTTGCAGATTATTAAACAAACGACATGAATAAAAAATAATTGCATGCTACGACACATGTTCGTGTTATTAGGTACAAAATAAAATAAACATCTCACAAATACATGCCGCGGTTTTCGAGATACATTTTCATGTATAGAAAGGCCTTCTCAATGCATGCTCTACCTATACTTAGGACTCATATCACGCTGCATTTATGAGACACGAAACATTGACGCAATCTGACAAAAAAAAGTTACAAATTTTGTTACAATGAGCTCTCCTTACTAACACGCAATTGCCGACAGATTGTAAATTTAGTTACATATCACACTTTCACACTGATAGCTTTTCTTCTATACTTCCAAAATACAGCCATCCTCCATCCATTGATGATGAATGTTTTCAACCTTTTTAGCTTTTGACAATAAGAAGTATATTTTCTTGTTCTAGTATATTTTTATGGGTTTTTACATGAAGATAATCTTAACTTTTGTCTAAATTATACTTACCACTTTTAACCAAAATCACATACATGTGCTTATATATTTGCAATGTCACTTGTTTCACTATTCAGTTTAAAAAATTTCTATAATGCTTATTTAGGTGGAGGATATGGTGGAGAAGATGGAGGAGGAGGGAGAGAGGGAGAGGAGATGGAGAAAGAGGGAGGGGAGGGGGAGGGGGGGGGGGCATAAATGGGCATTTTTAGGAAACAAAATACTGAATATACTAAAATAGGAAAAACACCTCATGGACCCAAAAATGGGACAGATAGAGGGAGACAGATGAGGTGTCCCCCTCTGATTGCATAATGAGCTGGTAATGACCAGCTCATTATGCAATTAAGGGGGGACACCTCACCTGTCCCCCTATCTGTCTCATTTTTGGATACCTGTAGAAGCACCCCTAAAATAGATATGCTCAAGACTTAAGTGTAATAAGTGCTCAAGTGTAACAAGTGCTAGCACTTGGCAGTGGATTCAAGTGTAACAAGTGCTATCAGGTTTCCACCTGTATAATGTTAATGAGACTACTCTCTTCGAAATTATGCTCTCACGCTAAGAAATGAAATTTTTTATTAACTAAATAGAACTTTGATGCTTTATAATCACTCCTTTAGCATTTATATACTCTTAGTTGTATTTCATAGCATTTATATGCCCTGAGTTGTTAGAAATTGGAAAATTAATACCCTTTGTTATGCAAACTTGAAATTTATCCTAATTATAGTTTTAAAATAGAGAATTTAGAAATACTTGGTAATGAATTCAACAAAAAGTCATAAAATTAGCATATGAATGTTATATATGAATTATTGGATAAAAAAATCATATTTGTAAAACAGAGGGTATTAATGTGCTAATTTTGAATTACTCAGGGTTTATAAATGCTAGGAAATACAACTAAACATATATAAGTGTTAAAAGAATGAAACTATATAGTATTTAAGTGCTATTTAGCCTTTTTTTTATCTAACCCGTCGAAGTCAGGGTTGTGGATCTTCTATCTTTAGTTAGATTTTGCTGGGAAGGGAAAAGCTAGAAGACAAATTCTATGAGCTCTATTTATATTTATCTATGCTACTATACAAAAATCAAGTGAGACAATCAAAAAATTATGGGAAAAATGTTTCAAGGCCCCAAAACCAAAAATCGGATGTGGCCCAGCCCCCCCAATTATCTGCCTTAGCCTTCAGCCCCAAAAAATTGCGAAAATTAATTCTAGCTTTTTTCTAATAAAAGGACATTTCACATTCAAGCAATTTGTT